TTGATATTTTATGAACCGGTGAAATATACATATATTAGGGTTAAGGCGAGACTTTGGAATTATTGACTACAGTACCTTCTATATACATATATAATAGACCCATCTATTTTGCCAGACAAAGAGGTGATAATACGAAAACTTCATTAGATAATAAGGACGCGGAATGCTCATTGTGCAAGACGAGGCAAAACGTACGAAATCATGTTAGACTTACGTATAGCAATCCTTCCTTTTTATTTGCATGGGATAGAAAGAAATGGAGGAAGATCGCTTGACCTGCAACGTATTTGTCAATCAAAAACTCAAATGACTTTTGAAACGTTCCATAGGTTATGCGGTCTTGAAAATCGATTACTTGTCAAGTTGAATATCAGTCGTACTTTTATCCTTGTTAGATAACGGGCAATAAATAGGGACAAAGAGCGTAAGGTTTGAGCGCAGCTTAGTTTAGTTATGCGAAACCGACACCTGTGCTAGCTAGCCAATAAAAGCTCAATGTCTGGTGTTGCGCGCGCATACAGGTAAAAATAGATAGGTCTCCTAGCCAAGTGGTTATGCTTTCAATTTGACTTTGACAGTTGAGTTGACAGTTTGACAGAGTGTTATATTTTCAAACTTCGATTCAATTCATTCTGTTATCTGTGAGCATTTAAGCAAAAGGACAGCAATATGCTGAAAAATAAAGAAAATAATTTGTGATAATGAAGGAATTTGTACACCGAGAGAAACACTACAGAAAAAAATTAAAAACGTAAGCATCACCGCGAAAATAAAGATAATATAAATGAAAATGAAAAATGTTTGGAAATTTATTAGTTTTTTTTTATCTTAAACATTCAGCCTGGATGCACTGATAAATATGGACGGTAAGATGCGAGCATTGAACCATTAGGCGAGTTCGGTAATCCTCCGGGAGGGAAAAGATGACTGGCCCCACGTGATCAGTTCTATTACTTCAAATGAAAAATCTCTTGAGCTTCTGTCAACAATGTCATCTCGCCCAATATATCGACATTCTAGAAAGATGCAATGAGGACGCGGAGTTTTTCAACGCCAGCCGCCAGCTCTTCCGCGCAGACACCAAAAAATTTGAACTTAGTCAGTTTCAGGGTCGTTCATTGGAACGCTAATAAAACCAGGTAAGCTAAACCATTAACTTCACCAAGAGAGGATTGACATCGCCGTGGTGGTGGAGACATGGTTAGGCGATGGTGATCGGCTTGTGGTACCGCCCTGCGATATCTTATTGCCAGTAATAATCCACACAATTACTTTCTTCCACTCCTCTAGATGTCGCTGACATCAACAGAATTGCAAAATACCAGCACATCAAGGACACGTCCCATGTCCATAACATTGACAAGCCAACATAGCCATCACACGACAATATGACAAAATATTCATCATTTGATCATAACTAATAAAGCTTACTTTTCATGCATCCGTTTTTCCGACGAAAGATGTTCCAAAAAACATTCTATTCTGACATAATCGTATAAAAATATGCCAAAATAGAAGATTTTTCGGACATATTTCGTCGGAAAACGGATGCATGAAACTCCGGCCTAATTCATTTGGTGCCGGTACTTTTGTCCTGAGCTTTCGAATTTGACAGCCGTTAAATATAATCACAGGTTTGAATGTAGTCTAACAGATGTCATTGGCTCTAACTACATCATACTTACAGACCTTGGCCCATGCAAAACCTTGTTAAATTTAACGACTTGACAAATTCGTTAATTGAGATCAAAAGTATCGGTCCTTAATGTTTAGCTTTTTCGTTTGCATGTCTCGTATTCCGTATTTCGTCTTTCTTTGTGTTGTGAGGTGTTTTTAAGGGATCTCAAAGTTGGTTTGTGTATTTTACGAGGATCTTCAAACTTTATAGATTGGAAGATCTATTTGAGTCTCTGTTGATTAGATGAACAGCAGGTTCAATAAAACATATCAATCAGAGCTTTGAATAAATATGTTAATGATAACCTTGACCATCTATAAAGAAACTGTCTTTTGATGTAATTAACAAAACACTGATCAATTTAAGCAAACATTAATGTCCCAGAATCCAGAATAAACAAATTTTAAAAGCCCCGCAGTTGTGCGGACAGGGAGCCATCTATCATAAAAATGCCTTAAAGTCCTATGTGAAGTAGGTTTCTGTAGCGTCAATGCAAAACTAGTAGATGGTGATTATTCCAAGACAGTAGATGGCGCTGGCCGGACAAAATTCTCATGACAATAGCCGTGTTCGTTTTTGTCATCTTTTTCGAAATTTTGACAGGCACGTGATTTGTAAGTTGAAACTTTCTGAACCAGTCACGTGCCTGTCAGAATTTCGGAGCAAATCGGCGAAAAAGATGACATTAACGAACACGATCAACGTTGAACCGAATTCATTTTTTTTAAAATATTTTAGGTTATAATTTTTCAAAAGTGACAGTTGATAACTAGCGAAGTCAGGGTACGTGCTCAATTGTAGCCCGCACGCAAAAGAGAACACCCTGAGAGCTAGAACTAACAGGATCTTATCGTTTCGAGCACGCTCGGAGTTAACCGAGTGTGAAGCCAAACTCGGGCCTTATCTCTGAGCTGACCTCTCTCCCCTCTTTTCTCAAAATACTAAGTCCTTGTTGCTTGATGAGTTGAACGCAAGACAGACTCGGCGGAATCATAGCGGAAATACCCAGGGTATGATTCTAGATGATTTCCACAGCGCCAGACCGGAGTTGATAGCCCTCACTTACTCATCTTTTTCGCCTCTGGGGCAAACTTGATCCTCCCCACTCACAAGTTCGTCTAAGTTACAAACAAATCAACTAGCACCTGCTTGGGCAGACACTCAGTTATCCCAATATAGCAATCACTGTCATGTATATATTTAATCAAGGTACCCATTCATTTAATACTATAGAAGAGAGTCCAAAAGGCTCCGTGATAATAGTATATCAAATACCTAGGTAGGGAAGTCACCTACTTACGTCATAATATACCGAGTGCTTTTATAACCTGAGGCGCGAAGCTCGAGGCTTATAATGCGCAAGGTATACAGATAGGACTATGCCACTACATAGATACATAGGATTCAATAGGATCAGTTGACTACTAACCATTTCACTGCGGAATCATCACGGTGGATCATTTATCCCTGCACGTTAATAGAATTCGTGCATCTTCGGCAGCTCGCCTAAACTCGGCTCCGGCAGTACCGCTTCGATTCGCCTAAACCTAGTGTCAAGTAGGTTGGTCTGGTCTGTATAATGACTTTCTCTACAGAGAAATATACAGGGTGTCCGGAAAATAGCTTAAAAGCTCTCCACTACGTAGTAGGGGATCCTTTGAGTAACCCTAAGAAAAAATAATTGAAAAAATCCTTCTCGACTATTGTTGGTAATTTGAAGAGATAAATGTGGAAACTCGACTTTCTCCTCAGGTAATTACATAGGTATTTAATTTAATTCTGTGACAAATTGTCAACGGAGTATTTTAAGTGTTGCCAATTTAAATAAAACATAATGTGAAATAAAATATTAAATGACAGCAAAACTATGTAAGTGTACAACAAATAAATAAATAAAAACAGTTGGTACAAATTAAATAACATCAAATATAAGTGTAAAAATCAAATAAATAAATAGTATATTACATACCGAGGTGGAAAGTGTCTCGAGACAGTAATGAAACTTTTCACCGAGGTATGTATACTATTTTATTTACAATCATTCAAATTTTGAAATTTTTATTTGAATTAAAACTAAAAAATACAATAATTGACAATTTCATTTACTTTCGGCCCACGGGTCGAAAGTAAAAGTCAAAAAATACAATAAATTTTAAAAATTTCATTTACTTTCGGCCCACGGGTCGAAAGTAAACTTTCGACCCGTGGGCCGAAAGTAAAAGTCAAAAAAGTGACATGTTCGAACTTTTTAAGAGTCAGTAAAGTCAACATTACATGTATGATTGTAAATAAAATATATAACATACCTATTCCAGACACCAGACACATAACGGCGAAACAATGAAAAAATGAACTTAAACCCGCAATACCTACTCCCTCAATCTTCAACAAACGGCGCAAGCTTTAAGCAAAATTTCTTAAGAATGCTACCAGATTTTTTTAATTGCCAGTAATAAACCACCTAATAACGCCTTCTATTAACAGCCTATGGTGATTTCCTATGTACATAGAGAAACCTGTTTTTATTTTTAACTGACAGATTGAAATTGAATTAAACCATTAGGAACCTGGTATGTCATGACGTTATTTTCAATATTGCCCTAGATTTTTTTTCTAATTATATTTGTAAAAATAATGGTTATTTCGCAGGTAGGTACCTAATAAGAGAAAAAACATAATCACTCGAGCTCGTATATAAAATTTTGTATGTACCACAAGCGCAAATTGTGTTCGAGGTCCTTCGCGCCCCTGGTACTTGAATAACTGTGAAAAGTAGGTAAGATCTATAAAAAGTTGAGTGTCACGAAAATTGTCAAAATTTGAAAAAGTATCTATAGTTAAATCAAATCCAAGCGGCAGTAATGTCATTAAATAACCTAAATTGTAAACAAACATCAGCCTTCCTATTGGTTGAAACGCTCTACCAGGACCAGTGCGCATGCACGGAGGACATTTGCTAAGCTGTAATGAAAACGATTAGTTAATGTCAATACTGCCGCTTGGATTTGATTCAACTATGGTAATCACAATATGAAATAATCACGCGATAACTCACCTGTGGATAGTCTCCATCTTTGGTCTGATAATCGAACACATAAAAAAACGTTTTTGGTCCCGAAGGTTCCTGTCCTGGCTGAGGCGGCTTCGCGCTCAACAAGTCACCCGTTTGCACCAACGGCGCAACGAACTGCGCATCACTGAGCGCCGCAATACACGCGTCCCTAGTATTAATCGGATGTTGCACGGTCCGTTCCCAATCCGTATATTCATTCACTACCGTAAAGAAAATTTCACTTAAGTGATAAGTATAGGCGTTCCTCACGTATGTCCGAACAATTTTGTCTCTGCGTTCACCCTCAAAACCTGCTTGGATATCGTTGGACGAAAAGCGCCATAAGGCCTCGCTGGTAACGACGCCGAAAAGGAGGTCGTAGGGATTGCTACCCTTTGGTACTAGAGTAGCTTCGCTGCGTTTCATGTTGGCGTTTACGGGGCCTACGAAGCTTTGAAGATCTTGAGGTTTGAAGTAGGTAACTAGTTCTTTGGCAAAGTCTGCTTTTATGACGACTCCTAAATTTTAAAAAAATAAATTAAAATCCAAGTATAAATTACATATTATTCTGTACTATTAAAGTGAATGGCTTTTCTATTGCGTACAACAATGCAGACGACGAGTACTTTTATACACCTCTATGCAAAAAAAAAAGAAAACACCACAATAATTATGACTCGAAGAAAATTTCCAAAGTTATTTTATTAATTGGCAAATATATATGTAATTACCATCAACACTAGGTCCAAAAGCACTAAGATATGCAGGAGGAGTTACATCTGCTTGAAGCAGATCAGTCAAGGGCGTTTCCCGAAGACAATCCACAATTTGTTCGTGGTCTTTTCCAACATCTTCTGGTATTGAACAGTTTACTTCTCTAGCTAACTTCACTGCATAGTTGACTGGATCTTCGACCTAAAAAAGCACAAACGAAAAACAAACTCAATGAAACCCAACAATAAAGTTACTGCTTATTCATTGTTCAAATCAGAGAATAGAAAAACTGTCAATAGTTTTACCTTCTAGGTAATTTTTCATGATTTGGCATACATTTTGTTGACCCACTAAATTTGGTCTCAATAAATCTTTATAGAAATGGTCAAAAATCTAACGAATCAGGGAAAAAGAGAATAGGAAATTCGGTTTTTCTAAAACGATGTTACCTTGGGAGAGCTTAAATCTTTGTCGATTGTCGAGTTATATTACTGTTACTTAGTCATAATCATAAATATTTATCAGATTTTTATCGATGACAAAATCGCTAGCTGAAACTTTTGCTATAAAATATTTACTCTAGATATGTAAATTTAATCTGGAGAAGTATATTTCACGAAAATTGCAATCGTATTTTAAAAAGAAATTCAGAAAAAAATGTTTCGTAGATGTCCAACAATATTTTTTAAAACAGTACAAAACTGAAAAATATAAAATGGATAATTTTTATTCGAAAAGATTCACTGTCATGCAATACTACCTGATTAATATAGTGTCCATACAACCTCTATACCTTCTGTCTATAAATGGAGTAGCAAGGTTAACTGACCTATCTATTTTTACCTTGACTGCGTGCGCAACTCGTGGGTTGCAGGTGAGCGTCCAATGGGAAGCGAGTTTGTTACGGGCTTGCGTCATATTCTTATTCAGGGGCCAGTTCAGAATTAATCTTTCCTTCTTTCTTCGTGAAGTTCGAAAAGAGCAAACTAATACTTTATGTATTTCTTCTGAACTCACCGCAGTATCGTTTAATGTTATGTTACAATATTTTTGACATATTCCTCTGCAATTTCATTGCGCGATGTTGCCGGATGAAACATTTATCAAAATAAAAGTGCAAACGAAGTTAACTTACACTTTAAAGCTCTTCTTTTATCTGATTTAAAGCATTGTGAAACACTTTGTAATAAATCACTTTTTCATTGGTATAATGTTCGATTTGTATTGTCTACATTTGTTCTGCAACAATACAAACTGGCTACATTGCAACCAACTAGTTGCGCGCGCATGTTATCTTTTATTACTTTCCAACTTGTATTTATAACAATTAAGCTATCTTTATCTATTTGTGCGAGACAGGTCAATGGATATCTCAAGCTAGAGCCACAGCACATGTTTTGTGTGTATAAAGTAGTCAATTGTGGGTTACTTGTTACTTGACTTTTTTGGGAATTCATGCAAAGGTTGATCGATTCTAGATGAAACCGGAACTTCTTGGTTTGAGTTTGCCCCCTCCCCCCAAGGACTGAGACCTAATGGACGCAACCCAGCCACTGAAAACTCCCCAGACACCTTAGTACATCATATTAAAAGCGATGACAGTTCAAATGGAGTTGGGGCTGTTCTTTTATACAAATTCACCAATGGAAAACTGAAACATGTAGCATGTGCCTCTAGGAGAACGTTTTAAAATTCTGCATAATTATCCTGCTAATCGACCATAGTTTAAAGTAGGGGTAGACCAACTTTATAATATTTCAAAAAAAATACAGTCTCGGATACAGATCCCTGAAAATCGAAGACGACCCAAGCGAAGGGGAAAGACTTTTTGTTACATGGAACGTACCTACATGGAATGACTTGGAAAGAGAAATAAATTATACATGAATTCAGTAGGTTGAAAATAGACGCAGCAGTACAGAAACAAAAAAAACCTTATACTTATGATTTTTAAACTTCATGCAGCAAATCCACAGAGAAATATCCTCAGCCAGTGCTTTCAGAGAGATATTTGTCTAACGAGACATGAGCAGTAGAACATATTCTTTGGTAGAACCAAAGAATCCAGAATTTGATATCAATCATCGAGTACTGAATTACTATAAACCAAGAACGAAATAGACAAACATCATATCAGCGCCTCACGTGAACCAGGACATGCGGAAAGTTGACCACTATTTTCTAAAAGCCGGAAACCTTTTTTCTTATCAGAGAAAAGCCGACATCAGCAAGACAAAGATAACTTCATGGGCGAAGAGATTGACTACTGTAGGAACAATCCAGCACGCCAATATAAAAAACTTGTACTCACCAAAGAAAACTGAACGGGAAACTCCAAGCATCACTTGGTTGAGGGAGAAATAGACGATACTATATCACACATAAGTACTTATCAAAGATAAAAGGATCAGAGAAAAAAAGATTACAAGAACGTACAAACAAAACTAAGAAAAATGATAGGGTCAAAAGAAAACTCATCAAGGATTTTGAGATGTATGATTTTTGGGATAGCTGCAATTACGACTTGCATATCAACCAGGTAAAGACCACGCTCTAGCAGAGACCGAGTGTTTTTCAACTTTTACTAACGACAAGTTCACAGGAAAAAGAATGTGTGAAGCCATTCACTGATGAAAAAGTAAATTCATTGGACTCATGTTGAAATCCAAGGTTGAAAGTGATAAATTACCTATTTCAAAAAGTTAACAAACAATGTCTGGCCCGGAACAAAGTATATTTTGTATGAGTTGACAGGTCGCATCTGCAAACCTGAAAATATTAAAGCCAAAATATTGAATGCTACACGATGGGGATTCTGTTATATCAGAAATGCGCTACACGTTTAGTAGCATGAGACCGACATATTTATCTTAACCTAGACTTTTTCAAGAATAGCCTAATCCAAAATGATGGTTAATAAGATAACGGCTCGCAATTTCCATCCAATGATATTCAGATTTTGTGTTGTGTTCCATCGTCACCAAAAGTAACTGGGACCAAAATAATTCATATTAATCTCCTGGACTATTCCAAGTTAACCAAGATAAACTTAAAATAATTCATATATATAATTATCGTTTTATAACATTCTACGTCTTCCGATTCCCGATCTCTAACCATCTCTGTCAATCCTGGCATCCTCCTCGAAAATTATTCATAGTTTCAGAAATACCTGACATCTGAAATCATAAATAGTACAAGAGCTAATATGATACTGTCCCAGTCACTTTTGGTGACGATGGTACGTACCTTACCATCCATAAATAAATGTTATCGCAAAAAGGGCTGGCCTCTCATCTTTTTCTCTAAAAACAATCGAGAGGCTATGCGAAAGGTACCATCGTCACCAAAAGTATCTGGGACAAAAATAATTCATACTAATCTCCTGAACTTATTCTACCATCAGTCATTTCCATGCATTTAATTCATTGTTTGACAAATATTTGACCCTAAAATTCATATAATACTACAAGAGCTGATATGATGCTGTCCCGGTTACTGTTGGTGACGATGGTACATAAGGGATAAAGTGCTGTCAACCAATTCACTCCAGCCTAATCAACATGAATACACCCCTAGGAAATCAACGGACGCAGCCCTCCACTTAGTTGCTGGGCGAGTGGAAAAATCGCTGGACAATAGAGAGTCCCCCTTAGGGTATTCATCGCTATTGGAAGGGCCTTCGTCAAAATCACCTTTCAAAAAATTAGTCACTAACAAAAAGGAACTGTTACCGGATGGATATTACATCATATATGCTTTCCAAAAGAATCGTACAGATAAGTGTGCAGGATGTTAACATTAAAGGAATTGTCACAAGAGGCTACTCGCAGAGAAGCGTGCTATCACGTCTTCTGTAGAACATTTTTCTCGACAGCCTCATTGTCCGCCACAAGAATGTAATGACAACCACTGCATAATAGCTTACGCAGATGACGTACCTAGTCATCTTGCAAAGAGGTGAATTCGAGATCTTGCTCTGCGAACCCATGCAAGATGGCCTTCGAATTATAGGAAGATGCTACACGGAATCCGTCCAACAACCACAAAAAGACTGAAATAGTCCTATTCACAAGAAAGAGGAAACTGATATTTTTGCCAGCACCCAGACGACACATATTTCGTCATCATGCGATGAGCAAGTTAAAAAGGAATAATATCTAGGTCGATCAATAGAATTGAATTACCGAGGGTCAAACGACCGCTCATATTATCGATTATGGTGGATAAATAATAGTATAAAAGGGGCGACCGTTTAAGTAGAAAAGAAATCATCAATCAATTATCGAGAATTAGACTCAATAATTAGTAGTATTCAGAAGTGGCGAATTATGTCAAGTATAAAAAGTCGGGCCTCGGAAATGTAAAAATTACAATAAATAACTCGAATCAAGAAAGAAGTAAACCTCTTAGTTTTTATGTGCGTGCTCTAGCTATTTTGAATAAATAATAATTAGAATAATTAAGTGATTCTAAGGGCGATAATTTAGATGTAAGTACTCTAGTGACAAGTTTTATTTTGACTTTATCAATGATTGAAATGACTATGAAGTGAATTGAATATGAAACTTTATTGCATAATTATTTTTATCTTGAGTGAATTGACCTTAAATATTTTACTGAAGAAATTGGATAATCAAATTGACTCTTTTGTTCCGTTTAGCAAATGATTAGTTAGATATTTTGGTTTCTACTTAAATAAATTAAGACAAAATGTTCATTATTTTGATAGTATTTACTCTGGCTTAGTAGGTACACGATTTTTGAGTATAACTATTGTACAAAATTTGACAGTAAGCAATTTCAGGGATTTTAAACGTTTATAGAACAGGAAGTTATAATAAAAACTAAATTATGAATTATTGTTTTGAGGCGAAAAAGGTGTTTAGGATTTAAAAATATTGTACCTAACGTAGTAGGGCTATATGAAAGGGTTATTAAAGCACAAGGCTTTTTTTGATTGACCTCGTTTACTAGTCTCTCCACAATCTTCAATCGAATCACTTCTAAACCTGAACCCATAACTCAATATCCAGGAGATTTTAATGTTGCTGTACTAACTTATTTTCTAACATTATCTATTCTTCGGAAAATTCCTCTAAGATAAACGAAAATACCAGTTCATTATAAAGAATGATTTTCTTTTTTTTTTTGAGAAAAGTAACATCGTCACGTAGGTATAATTCCATTTTATGGGTACAATTAAGTTACTGCACCGGTGGTTGTCAAAAGTCGATTGAATTTATCCACGAAACTTTTTTTCTGAAGAATTTTCAAACTTTGAATTCTAAGTGAAGGGCAAACTTTTCTCCAGTTCCCTTAATCCTATTTTATAAAAATTTCACTTCCTCTTTGAACCTTCTTCCGCCCAAGCAGAATTTACACACACGTTTGGTTAGCTTGTTATTCCCAAATTTGTCATTCGCAACATGATATTATGTGTATGAATATACTTTACTGCTAATTTATCAATGTAACACTCATTATAATAAATAAACCGCTATTATTCTAAAATCCGCACAATCGACATATATTCAAAAGAAACTGCTAAGTATCAACTTTTAGTAAAAATGTACATAATAAAACGATAGGGATTGCGATTTCAGCATGATGCATTATTTTCCTATTTATTACCCAAATGTAGCGGAAACTTTCTGAATTATTATTTCATGTTCGCCGAACGTAAATATGCCCCAAGTAACCGGAAAATCGAATGCGGAAAAACTTTTTTTTCACGTGCCACAAAGTTATAGATCTATACCAGGCTTTTAGACTTTATGATTTACGAGTTAACTCTAAGAACTCAATAGTTTGAAACCAAAAGTTTCCTTTTGACGGAATATTTAGCAGAATAGTTTTGCGTGAACTTCAACTAGGTGGTACATATCAAGCGATTTTTTTTTTTCTTAATTCTTATAAGATCAGCAGTTATAGTTTTATCATGATCGATATAACAGTTTTAAAGCCCTATTATGGCTATCTGCAATGATATCAAAAAGTAATTTTAGTTATTTTTTGTAGACATCGCTTTCAAATGCAAAAGTTTGGATTTTTATTGAGAAAACTATTCTGCAATAAAATAAAACAAGAAGTATTATCAAATCCCATTTCCATTTTAATAAAAACTATTCCCGTTTCTATGTACGAAGATATTTTGAGCCAATTTTGTTAACCATGTTTCAACCTGTAGTTTTTTTTTTTCACGGTTGAAAACATTCGAATACATGTGTGTTTTCGGAGAGCGTTTCATTAATACCCTAACAAAAAAATTACCACAGAGTTGAACGTTTCAATTAAGGTGACTGACAAAAAATTCGTTAATTGCAAGCTGTTTGAATGCTTGGCATTGGTTGCTCGTACCTGCCTATTACCGTATTCTGTTTTCTCTGAACCTTTTTTTTTTGTATACTTTAAACTTCGGAGTTTGGTACGAACTGAATTATTTGTACAGAATTTACAATACAAAATTGATGCACCACAATTATTTATGGATAAACATTATTCATTGTAGGAGTAGGTAGGTACATACAGTAATTTGTTGAATATTTCAAAATTCTAATTCACTTACCAAAGCCCATGACGACAAAGCCGAACCAGATAAGAGCAGCGCTCGATGAAAAAGACCCGGCATTACAGTAGGCGAAATCATAAGAAAATTTATACATGCCGCCCCTGAACCATGCCCTGCCAACGTTACATTGTTAGGATCTCCACCGAATAAGGCTATGTTCTGTTGGATCCAGTGCAATGCTGCTATTTGGTCCATTAGGCCGTAGTTTGCTACTCGAGCCTTGAGGTGTGGTGCTGGATTTGCATTTAAAAAACCTACAAGAAGATTTCACGACTTATTAAATAAAATATACCTACAGTTTTATAAAAAGTGACGAACTTAATTTATGCGTAGCATCAAAGTTTTGTTTATCCCTAACTTTTAATTTCCTGCTTAAAAAATATGCAAATGATGTTGAAATAATTTGAAGAAACCATTTTTTTACATAAACTTTAAGGCAATTCTTATGTTTCATTGTACACATAATTATTTTTCTAGAAAATACCTATGATTTTCTTTATACAATTTCATTGTTGTAGAGTGTATTCTAGGCATTTTTCATAGGAACGGAAATGTTTCTTCCAGACTATGTTGCCCTGTAGATATTTCTACTTAACGTCTCGTCTATTGCTATGGTAGACCTCTCTAGCTCAGAGGCAATGTGGTAGTTCTCTGATGATTCAAGTTATCGGACTAATTGCAACTAAGAGGAGGCGTCCCCTACAATACCAACTCTGGAGATGTCAGCAGCGGCAAACCTTTTCATTGCATTTTTTCAGCAGTTATATCTTTCCCTTGAATTCTTTTGCTCAAAGGTTTTGTTTGCGTCATTTTTCCATATCGCTTTCACTTGATAAAATTCAGGTATCCTTGCATCTGACATTATATGTATAGGGTGATCTATAAATGTCACCACCTCCTAACATCTTCATTTGACGTTTTTGACAAAAGTGTCAAATGTAAAAGTTTTGAGAAATTGTCAAAAGTTTTTAGGGACATAAAGCTTCCGTTTTTTTTGCTCGGTATCCGTATCGGTATCGTACTGCGCATGTGCAGAAGCGATACGGAGGCCGAGATACCGTACGTACAACGTAATGTTACGGCCCTCTCGCGGTATCCGTATCGGTAACGTATCTTGACATTCCTGACGCATGTGTCAAATTTTAAATGAATATAACCTCACTTTTCTTCCGGGTTGATTTAATTTGTTTAGTTTATACTTTCTTGAGTTTCTTGTGTGTTTAGTGCTTCTCTATCGCAAAAAAAAATAACAATTTTAAGGTTAGATATAAAAACGCCGGAGTTTTGAGACAAAAATTTCCAGGTTAAGAGATGCGTTTACGTTTACCGGAACAGGGAGCGCTTTAACAGCCTTTTCGCTTGTCAACGTATCTAGTTGCGTTAAGGATACCGATACCGATACCGGCGAATTATTTCAAGTAGCTTTATGTCCCTTTTAACTAAGTCAGTTTTACAGTATACAGGTACGTCAAAAAAGTGTGGCAATTGGTAGTTATATTATTTTGAATGAATTAATGACACACCATGTGTATTATGCCCTTATTAGTAAGTTCCCTCCAACCTTATTTCAACGATATACGATTTGATATGTCTTATCTTCAATAGTTATAGGGACAAACATGAAAATCCATTTCAAGGTCTCGTGTTGAAGAAAGAAAAATTATGCCATTCAAGCTTTAACGATAATTATTTATAAAGAGTTTATTTTTCATATGTTAATCATTAATTTCGAAGGTGGAATATTAGGTATAATAAATCCAGATGTCTTAAGTTATTATTAATATTAGAAAAAAATAACATGATACTTAGGAAGGGATTTTCACGTTTTTTCCTATAACTATTGAAGATAAACCGAGAGATAAACATATCAAACCGTATATCGTTGAAATCAGGTTGAAGCGGACTACTAAATAAGCGCACAGTATACATGGTCCTCCATTTAAAAAAAATATAACTTCGCTCCGATACTCTTTTATGACGCACCCTGTATGCTTAAAACTGACTTAGTTGAAAACTTTTGACATTTACTTAAAGCTTTTCTATTTGACACTTCTGTCAAAAATGTCAAATGGTAAAATTAGAATTGGGCCACAATTATAGGTACCCAATAGATCACCCTGTACTCGTGTCTCTGGTACGTCTTTAACTATTGTGTGGTTTATAGTCTGAGTTTCTCTTATTCTCATATTTGCTATTCTTCCTAATCTTGCCCTTTTTGCCGCTGTTATCTATACAGGGTGCTTTAAAGACCGTGGGCCATCACTGGTATGTATATCAGAAACGGTTGGTACGAGGGCGATTAAATTTTAAAAAAGTTGCCATTTTCGAAGGTTATTATAAATATATTATCGTTCTTGCCAAAGGACCCCGCACACTTCTTATGGGATTTCTGACCGTGGTCAAATTTAACCAAATTTTAGTATGTTATAGATCTCACCTTATTGAACAATAACTACCCTGAGCACAACCTACTCCGATGACTAGTTTTTGCGATACAGGTAGTTTATTTTCCAAGAAATATACCCATTTTATATGCATTTACATCTACCTGTCAATCCTGTCACCTGAGCGTGATGTCCATCCTGATATATTATTAGGTGTGACAGGTAGATGTACCTAAATGCATATAAAATGTGTAAGGTTCGTTTCACCAGGGTTCATACTTGACCTTGAAACTTGAAAAAAAAGGGTTGTCGTAGATTAATTCATATGACACATACAATTTTTTTGACAAATTAAAATGAATGACGTCTGGTTAAGAACCGACTAACGTTTTTGACGTCATTGATTTGTTTCAGTCAATTTTTATTTGTTAAAAAAGGAAGGCAAATGTTGGTGGCAAGTTCAAACCCTGGCGAAACAAACTTTATGTACCATCGTCACCAAAAGTAACTGGGACAGCATCACATAGCTCTTGTCCTATTATATGAATTTTATTGTCAAATATTTGTCAAACTATGACTTAAATGCATTGAAATGAATGACAGTAGAATTAGTCCAGGAGATTATTATGCATTATATGTGTCCCAGATACTTTTGGTGACGATGCTACGTTCCTTGGAAATTAAACTACCTATATCTCAAAAAATAGTCATAGGATTAAGTTGTGCCCATGGTAGTTATTGATCAGAAAGGTGAAATCTAGAACATACTTAAATTTGGTTAAATTTGACCGCGGTCAGAAATCCCATAAAAAGTGTGCGGGGCTCTTTCTATTAGTTTCCGAGATAAAGGGTGATTGTAAAAACACCTAAAACTATTTTTTTTTTACAAATCACCCTGTATTTCGAAAAATGATAGAAATTTGGCAACAACGAAAATATTATCTTCTATAACCTTCGAAAATGGCAACTTTTTTCTAATTTAACCGCTCTCGTATCGTACCGTTTCCAATATACCAATGGTGGCCCCTGGTATATTATGCAATGATCATGTAATGATTGCCATTAATAAACGAGTATGCTGTAGGATACGAAACGAGCCGCAATTGAGTTTTGTATAATATAACATGCGAGTTGCATAATATACTACATACATAGGTAGATTAATGGCCATTACATGAGAGTTGTACAGACTATACATCTATATATCTATACGAGTTCCATTATAAAAAAATATGTTCCAAAGTTGCAATATCGCCTTTCTATGCTCATGTATTCTGTTTTTTTCAGAGTTTTTGTCTAATTTACTTCTAAACCCGCCTATGATTCTTCTAGTTAAGCATGCTAGGGCCTCGCTATTTACTGCTATACATATTTGATCGGCGGCAAAACTTAAAAGTAAATACAGAGCAAATGCTTTGCCATATTTTTACATTCCCTTTTTCACTATTTAAGTACTTGCCTGAAGTATATTTTAAACGCTGTTCAAGTCTTTTAAGTTGCCCCAAGCTCTTTTTAATTTGATTATCCTATTTGAGTTCGGTTTTCGCGTCGCCATGGATCGTTTTAACTTTCATTATCTCTAAGCTAGTGTTTGTTTTCCTAACAATTATTGTTGTGTGAGCTGAAAGATGCTGAACACGTGATTTTGTTAAGGTGGTTAAGATGGTTTTGATTAGTTCTGTATTGAAATACTAGTACATTTCGAATAACTTGAATTAATTTTACCAATTACAAAATATCAGTTCAACCGATCACCTTTCCATCCAATTCACAACTCGTTATACCGACAATCCAAAAATTGTCTCGCTCAATGCACAACCAGGTAACTTTAAAACTGTATCTCTAAGTCACTATGTGTCTGAGTTACAACGTGTTCAATCCACGATTATTTGCATTAACGTTGCGAGATCCTATTATAACGTTTAAATCCCTCTGTAATTGTCTAGAGTCTAGAAAATTCTCTTCTAGGGATTTCCGATAAACGTCAACCCGGAGTTTGCTAGATTATTCCATCAACGTTAAATTCTATTTCATGTCATTCTTGCTAACCTTATAAAGTTTTTTGCACCATCACCTTTGACAAATATAACGATGAGTAAATAAATTTTTGTTGATGATTTGTTTTCTAATAAACTGTTTACAATACCATTTATATTCAATGATATTCGTCCAGCTCTATATTATTTCAAATAATACCAATCCTTCCCGTTGATAGAGCCTCCTTTTCGGCTAGCTTCATCCTACAAGTGCGTCGAGGTCAATATGTTGAATTGCGCTCGACCTTGGTTGAGCACGGGTCACTTTTCCTTAGAAGCTTGGTTAAGCAAGTCGACGTCAGTGACGTCAACAAGCTCTTTTGATTTTTGGCGAACATGCTAAGTTTTTTAAAAAGTCTCTTGACGGGGTGAATCCTTCAAATTTCTCTGTTTGGTTTGGAGTGCCAGTTATAGCTAATTAAATAAGTAGTTTTATCCGTCGACTAGGTCACCTTTTTTGTGATTTTAATGGAACATACCAGGTATGTGACAAATTCTTTTCTATCTTGAACATCCCTTAAGTTTATGATTATTGCTCCAGCCTATCTTTATTTATCTGCAACCACCTCTGGTGATGCCAGTGCCTGTATTGTGTACCAAATCATGGTATACGTGGAGCCCCTCCTTCAGGATGAGTCAGGGACTTTTGTGTCTTATTATAAACCTAAAAGGCAAGTTTTTTGTCCATCTCATCTAGGGTCCTACATCCAGGCCTAGAATTGGTCCAATTCACTGAAGAGATATGCTTCCCTAAACTTCATGTTCCCCTACTTCGGAGGTCATTTTCATGGTCTCTGATGGATCGTGCCTATCGTCCTTGATGACACCTCGGCT